ATGGAGCAAGATCCACCTCCAGCTGAGTCTTGGGAGTTACTGGTCCTACTTCAGAGATGGGAAAACTAGAGCTAAGCAAACTAATGCTAGTTCTCACCACCACGGAGTTAGAACCCTAGCTCAGATTGTTTCTCAAAGCCCACGTCCCCCTCATGCATACTTCTGTGTAGTGAGGTGTGATTAGATTAGCTTAGTTAGAGACCTATGTGGCCTCATCAAAGAATCCCAAAGACACAACCTTCCTCAGCCTCCACCTCCACCATTTCTATAATGTTGCATGCTGTAGGGTAGTAAGATCCATTCAGTGGAGGAAAGAAAGCCAAGCCTTTCCTGAGAAATCTCACATTGAAAACATAAATAATACCCCTAATGATGGACAGGTTAAGTGTGAAAATGGAACGGTCATTCGCATTCGTGGACCTGAGCACAGGTGAACCCCAATGTGACTAAGCGAAGAGACGACATAAGGCCCTGTCGCATGCTAATCAAAAATGATGGGAATTCGCCCAGCAGCTGTAGTCAGATCCAGGCTCCGGCAGGACATCCTCCCCTCGAGCAGCTCCCTCTCTGGAGGATAAGTTTCCACCAGAGAAAGGAGTGGCCCTCCCACCCCCCTGCCCTCATGGTTGCAGCAATTCCTCATCCTTCTGACGCCTGAAAACAGTGGGGGCAAGTGGGACAACAAAAGCCCTGTTACAAACACCGCTAAGAACCTCAGCCCACAGGTACGCAGCTGGCAAAACCACGACTTCCTCACATGCTTTTTCTTTCAACAATACTGTGGGTTAGATGGCCAAGGTTAGGTGAGTGAGTGCCCATCTAGAGAGCATGCAAGGGAACAAAGAAACAAGGATGGTACAGGGCTTCAAACCCGTGCCTACCACATTGGCCTTGGACTCAGCTCACAGAGTCACAACTCCCATCAGCTACCACATCATCCCCTTTCTACTCTGGGTCACTGGGGTCACCTCCTCTGAGTAGAAGGCCCAGAATCAAATCTTTCTTATGGTTTACCATTAAGAAAATCCACAGACCTCTCTGAAGTCAGACTGCTCCAGGGAGAGGGCTCAGGGTTTATCTGCATAGGCAGAAGAGCATGCCTGCTTACTTGGCACTCAGCATTCCACACCTGGCTTCCTGGGGACTTTGAGTCTCCACGAACAACCTTCTTTCACTCCGCTAGAATCACAGCTCATTCACTAATTAAAGGGTATTACACACTTCATTGCACACCAGCTAAGAACTTGGAAGAAGGGAGCGTGTGCTACAGCATTTGCCCTGGAGATGATGCTCTGGGCTATACAGAAAAATCAAATTCAGAAAAAGAGCATCCCCAACACTTAAATTCTCTAATAAGTCGGGCATGGTGCTTAGAGAAAGAAGGCACCCGGTGTGTCATAACCCCCAGCAGCACTTGTAAGAAAGCCCACTGGAGAAGGATGGCCATCCCAGAATGAGGGAGGGGACTGGGGAACAGGCTTGTCCAACAGCTAACTAAGTAGGCTCACTGCTGATGTGGGATTCTGAGAAAAACTTTCCTAGACCCAAGTTCCAAAGAGCACAAAGGTGTGTCAGAGGGGTCTTGAACACATTCCCCCATCATATTACCCCAAACAGAGGCTGGCATAGGTGCCCGTTGTCACCCATTGGTGAAGACCAGCTTCTGATTACACACCCAGCATGGGTGCCATTCTGACATCCCTGAGCAGACAGAAGAGAACACCAAGGGGCTCCCTCTCTTTAGCGCTTGGAGATGTTCCACACAGGGGGGTCAATCCAAGGATGGGCACTCAAATAGAAGAGTCGAGGATTTGCAGAGACTGACAGTTAATGTATGCCACTAACCAGAAAGTCACCTTGTCTGCAGGCAGCTTCAATGTTTCTGAGGGTCAGGAGCTCAGGTAAGGATTTAAGACCTGACTTTGGGTGGCTTGGGATACCAGCAATTCAAATGATGTGCCAAATACAGACAAACAGCCTGAGATTCTAAACAGAACTTGGGCATGAACATAGCTACCAGTCAGCCATGCCACCATGAGGATGCTTTTGAGAATGCTTAAAGACTCGTCCCAGGGTCTGTTGCCCAGGACAGCTTCCCTGAGGCACCCTGCATCTGTTGTCTGTGGGTACCATGTGTGTGCAGGCAGACAGAGGAAGAGCTGAATGCACGTTCAAGCTTCACAGTACAGCAATGAGACTGAGCGTTGCCAGGCACTAGAAAGCATGGGCTGGAACACAGTGATGGTTTCAGCCTCCAAGAATGAGGCATTTTCCCCATCCCTCCCCAAGGCCCCTCAGACATCATTTGTGCATGACATATTTTAGGATCTTCTTTGCTCCTTTAAGAAGGGCTGGCCGCTTCCTTCTCCGGCTCACACTGGATTCATCTTTAGCAAATGCTGCTGTCAGTTTGGCTGTGCTCTTCCTTGGAATGTTTAAAAGGGATAATAATACAAAACGGCTCCCCCAGGAAACAGCTCTAGCTCACAGGCTGTGAGAAGCAATGCCCCTGGCACTCTGGGCACTTCCAGAATGAGAGACAGCCAACAGCAAGTGCAGAGGCTGAAGGCAGAGCCGGGCTGGAACATAAAGAGAACCTCAGAGCAAGAGGCAGGTGGCTCTGAGAGGGGGTGGGAAGGGCTGACTATGGGAAAGGGAGGGAATGTCTTAATGAGGCAGAGCACCCCAGACAAGTGCTGACGACACAGTCCGGTTCCCTTGATGACGGCTGTGCCTGCCATCCTTAACTTGTCACTGCATTTTGGCTCAAGACTCCTTCCCCTGCCCCAGGAAGCTATAGGGGAAAGCAGACATGCTGGGCTGCAGGAGGACCCCACAGTTCCTGATCCCCCAGACTTGCCTGGCACTGTGGAAGAGTTGGCAGCTACTGTCTGACCTGTTACACCAAGTTATGCCTATCAGCCCACGAATTGGGCTGAGGACTCTAAGGGCGACAGATCTATGCCCGTCCTTCCCTTCAGCCTCCTCTGGCAAACTCATCCTGAACGTAATCCACATCCTCTTTACTCAGCTCCACACTCCCCTCCAGGCTTTCCAATCCCACAGCTGCTCGCCCCCCTCCCCACACCCTCCTCCTGCTCCCACGTTGGGAAGCAATTGTACACAGAGAAAACGAGCCTTCGTGTTTCAAGCTCAAGCTCCCAGACAGACAAGCCAGTCTCCGGGACCTCCTTGCCGCATCTGTCATCTCTGCCCACCCTCTATAGAAACCTCTACCCTGACTAGCCTCTCTGCCCCAGCACCATGGACAGCTCACGGCTTTGACCTGCCTGCAGGAGGACCAGAAGGACCCTCTGGGAGTCCTCTCCTCTCCACACAATTCAGGCAAGGAAAGGATGGAGAGAGCCTTCCACACCTCTGCAGCATCACCTGCTCAGTGAGCTCCCACATCCACGGGAGTCATTCAGGCTCTCTGGGGCCCCACACCCCCTTCTGTGACAGCTTTAGCTCCAGTCCAGCCCACAGGATACAGAGCCTGATGCCACTTCCGAGCATAGAGAGAGAAGGAAAGAGGGAGAGGGGATAGAGAAAGAGAGAGGAGAGGATGCCAGGATGCCGTCTCACCAATGACAAGCTGTTCCTGTCACACAGCTCGGACATCAAGCACCCTGGACGATGGACAGCCCAGGCCTTTTTCCTCTGACTGGGAGTAAGCCCAACTCAGCACTCCCCAACAGCAAGCCCCCTGTAGATCTCCAATCTGAAGGGACTGCAGTACTCACCTGGCAGGTAACCTTATCTACAAACAGATCCAACAACCTCTCACCAACTACCCTTTGGCCTTCAGCTAGGTCTCTGGCCTCACTCCCGCACGGCAGAGACCCCAAGTCAGACAGAAGGCCACCGGCGCGCCACTTCTACCGAAGAGTAAGCACAAGAACAAACTGAAAACCAAGTACTCACAGTGGTGAAGTCTTGATGTCCACACTCCTGTCCCTTGAACTTGCAATAGAGCATCATATCCTTCAGGTCATGGCCTACCCGGTGCAGGAACTCCAGCATGCTGAACTGCTTGGGTTTGTAGTGTTTGAAGTTGGCCTTCTGTCGCAGGGCCTCCAGAACTGTGGGGTCCGCCAGATGCGGGTCAGGAATCTGCAAGTTGACATCCAGCAGGGCCAGCAACTCTCCAGCGTGGTACAGGTCATTGGTGGTAAGCCTGGAGAACCGGAAGCCATTGAGGTTGCAGAGGGTCACAGCTGGGAAGACCAGGCTCTGGGCCACCACCTCATCCACCTTGGTAACGTGCTGATAGGAGAAGTAGTAGGACACCCTCTCAGAGCTTTCAACCAGCAGCAGGCCCAGGGAACCCACAAAGGCCACTGCCCAAAGCACACGCCGGATGGTCAGCGGCCCATACACGAAGATGTGGCGAATGCCATGAAGAGTAGAGGTGTTGGCAAAGATCTGGATGCTGGAAGGTTGCAGGCTGCCCTCGCTGGGGCTCTCCTTCAGGTCCATCGGGACCCTGTGCAGTTCCGCAACTGGCTTCAGGTTGATCAAATCTCAGGGAAGAGTTCCCAGTCCTCTGGATTCTGCTTAAACCTTGGCGTTCAAGGCAGAGATTGCCGGGCAAGCATCAGGCTAGACACTGGGAGTTTATCCTGAGAGCCTGGCCGCACGCTGACAGGGGTGAGTGTTTATATAAAACCCATTCAAACTCTAGCTCCTGATTTTTTCCAGGCGATAAGGAGGGCTGGTTTTATTTAGGGAGACACCAAGGTGATGTGGAAGGGATGTGGGTGGGAAGGGAGCGCTTAGCCAATGGAAATAAAGTCCTCCCCCCTACACACGCCACTAGAGACAAGATTAAAAGCGAGAGCGAGGGAGAAAATGCTTAAAACAAGTCGCTGAGCAGCTCGGAGCCTGTTAACCAGCGCATAATGCCCCGTGTTAAGCATGGGGGTTATGTCAGCACAGCCACGCTGATGCAGTGCGGTGGGCGCCGCGGTGCAGCTTCCTAGCAGCCTACATGCTTAGCTTCTTCCTGGGGGATGGATGTCTGGGACCCTGGCCGCGGCTTCTCGCTGCTGGCTTCCATCCCTCCTTCCCTCCTCCTTTTCCGGCCCCCTTTTGGGGACAGAATTCCAATTGAGGGCCGCGGCTGCTGCTTGGGAGAGGACGCTGCGCTCCGCCTCCAACAGGAGAAGCAGGGATGCGGGGGCTTCTGTGGGCTCCGTGCTCCCAGCCTCCGGAGGGGAGAGGGAGACCCGTGAGCGCAGAGTGAGCTTGTTCCTCTGGCCTGCCTCCCGGGAGGCACCTAGGGGAAGGGAGACTTCTGCGGGGAGCAAGGGGCTGGGGACATGGAGAAAGTTTTCAGCCTTTTTTTTTTTTTCTTTTCTTTCCTTTTTTTTTCTTTAAGGAGCTGCTGGGGTCTTCTACTCCAGGTAGGAAGCCACTCCCAGAGGAAAGAGAACTTGACTCCCTTCCCCCATGAATGGTAGAAAAGTGGATACTTAACTGTGTGTGTGTGTGTGTGTGTGTGTGTGTGTGTGTGTGTGTGTGTGGCGTGTGAGAGGCTGGCAAGGTTTCTTTACATCAATCTGAGTTCCGAGGTCATATCCCCGGGAGACCCCATGGGAGAGATGCTGAAAACGAAGGGAGTGATTTAAAACCACAGGGTCTCTGTGGCAGGTTGGAGGGGGATACTCCAGAAGACCTGAGAGAAGCTCTTCTAGAGGCGGAAAGATCAGTACGCCTCTGGTAGCCCCAGGGGAAAAGCAACAAGTACCCCCACCCCCTTATGGCTGTCAGGACTTTTTGTGTTTAACAAAGGAAGACAGCAGGGTGCCAGGTAGGACTGGCTACATTCCATTCTGTTTGAGAAGAGTGTGTGTGTGTGTGTGTGTGTGTGTGTGTGTGTATCTTCTGTCCCAGAGGAGTGTGTGTGTGTGTGTGTGTGTGTGTGTGTGTGTGTGTGTATCTTCTGTCCCAGGGTTTGCCAGATGGAATCACAGCTGGAGCTGTAGGTGAGAGAGAATGGGCTCTCAGCCTCCTACCTCCTGTTTCCTGAAAATCCCTAGTAAGTCAGACCCCTGCTGACTGAAGGTGTGGCTTGCCTGCCTGCCCCTTGCCAGGGATCAAGCGCTGGCCTCTATTGAATCAGGGATAAATTCTCATCAGGGTGAAAGGAATTGAAAGTTAGAGTAGCCAACTGAGTCACTCAGCCAAGCTGGGATAGAGCCACACGGAGGCAAGCGTCTTGGAGAGCCAAGCCCCGTGTGTCTCCAGGGCATGCCAGGCCTAAGAAGGTGGAGAAAAGGGCAGCTTAGCTCATGTTCTTTTAGGCTGATAGCCAGTCTGCAATGTCCTCCTGTCCATCTGGTCTCCTGCTAAGCCAGACCTGTGGAGATGGTTCCCAGAAAGCACTCTGAGGTGACACATGAGGCATGGCCTTGGCGGTTTGTCAATCAGGATGACACGACCAGTAGCAAATGACAAAGACAGAGGGGCCTTATGCCTTTGCTAGCCCAGAGTCCTGGCCTCAACAGGACACAGGCTTGCAAACCAGGAGGACCAAAACCAGTACAAATTTTTCATGCCCCAGAACCTGTGTGAGATGCTGTATTGTCCCACATACCCCCTCAACTATTGGCAGGAGAATGTTCTAGATTTTATTCTCATCCTACTGAAGAGGGAACACAGGCCTGCAACAATGACCTGCTGCGACCAAATCACACAGTCAGTGAGATGGGAGCTGAGACTTCAGCCTGGGTATGTTCACCTCTGAAACAGGCTTTAAAAAGCAGATCTCAGTTTCTCCATCTCAAATTTGGGAAGGGATTCACCGCCACATTCTCTTTCTGTGTCTTATTCCCTCACATGTGTGGATCCTTTCCCTGCCTTCTCTTGGTTAAATGATACCCATGCTGCCCTTTGGTCACAGTCAGAGGTTCTTATAAAGAAGACTCGCCAACTTTGGACTCATCAGTCTAATTAGTGTGTTCCCCTTTAACTCCATTCCAGATGCTGTGTTGGTATGGAGAAAACAAGATGAATGAAATACATGTCCTACTATTGATACCTCAAGGCTCCAGGGATGTGAAGGCAGCAACAGGCAAACGGGTCTCCATGTCACAGTTCTGATGGCAACCTCCTAATCTCAGCTGTGCCCAGCTGGAAACCATTGAGTATAATGTCTGCTACATTCTGCCCCCTAGTCACCAACCATTGCCTATGCTATGCTCTGTCAACCCCTTCTTTTCCTGGAGTCAGTATCCTGCTGTCCGGACATGCTTCCTTCTCATATGTGCAGAGATGGATCCTAGAGTAGATCTCATTACCGTTCCTCCACATAAACCCATTCACCACTCCTACACCTCCATATTGGATTGGAGGCTCACAAGCATGGCATGGCAGGGCGCCGTGGTACAGCCCCACACACCTCAGTTTGCTTCTCCCATCTGCTCTGCCACCTTCTGCACTGTGACCTTGGAGAAACTGCCTAAATGTTTCTGAACTTTCAGTTCCCTCCTAAGCAATGGTGGGGCTTTGGAATGGCAACAGAAAGAAGAAAAAGTTATGAAGCGTTTGTACAGTTTAGACACCTAGCAATTAACGCGCTCTTGATGAACGCTGGGAGAAAGTGCTTTGTTGATGCTAGTGTTCTCTTCCAGGCGGGGAACCATTTAAAGCTCTCAAAGATGTTATTTGCCTCAGGCACTGCAGATCTGAAAGGCTAAGGTCAAACACAACTCACCTTCTCTTCTGCTTCCTGTTCACAGCCCAAAGATGACCTTGGGGGTCTTCTTGACTGTTGAAAACAGGCGAGGCACTTTAGGGTAGATGGGAAAACCAGAGGATAAAGACCCTAAAGATGGCTTTCTTTGTAAGTCACCGGGCTCTGTCTTGTGGATTTGTCAAACGCCAAGAGCACCATTGGACCCACTTTGCAGAAGAACCTGAAGACAGAGAGAAGGGCTACGTGGCTCATGGTACCCACCACTGAAAACTAGAACAGTCACAGTCAAACTCTCAGAAGTCTGAGCTAGAAGATACGGTCCACAGACCTGCATCCGACACCAGTGCAGACCATCACAGTGCTAGCTCTGAGCGAAGGGTCAGAGATGGACAGTGTTTTTCAAGAGATACCACTGTACCATTCTCTGTCATAGCTGCACGATGGTTAAGAAAATGTTCCTGCAGAGCTCTTCTTAAGGGCCCTCTTTAGCTGGTAAGAATCTCTTGCAATTAATACTGTAGTTTACACACAAACAGGAGATATTGTCTAATTCATAAAAACGTTTTTGTGGCATTCAGTTGGTTAAACATTTGCAACATCCGTCAGATTCCCAGTACCTTTTACTTGGCTCTGGGGCACATGCAGAGGGCACAGACCTCAGGTTCAGAGTGGGTCTACTTGGCCCAGTTTTTTAGTGGCTGCCCTAATTGTGTATAATTATGGTCTTTTTTGTGCACTGCACAACTAAACATTAAGAAATAAAAAAATGTCCAGATAAATTTATGTGTAAAATAGTCAATTCAACCCCCTATTAGCCCAGAGTTTTGCTACGGCAAATCTATTTATTTGCTTAAGAACAAATAAATGGATGTACTTATGAATTTCTCTGTTTTTGCTCTGAGGTGCCAGGAGGCAGAGGGAGGGGCTTTCTTCTGACCTTGGGGACCCTAGGGCCTGCCCTAAATGTGACTTCCCAGAGGCCCCAAGGCAGAGTACAGTCTCTTCTGGTCTCTAAAGAGGTTGGCAGGTAGAGTTAGACAGGGCGGGCCCTACCATCAGCCCCAAAGCTAATTTGCTACTTAGCATGTACTAGATACTGGCTGCTATGCCGTCACCCTAATTAGAAAAGAATGCATTCTTTTCTAACATGCAGATGGAATTATTATCTCAGACTCCCCTGGCTTCCTTGTACAACTTCTCCTCCTGGTTCCTCGTTGCTGTGAAAAAGGTTAACCCAAGCATGGCCCTGCTGCAGACCGGTTTCTAAGTACACGGCCCTTACAGCAACGAGTCTCATTTCTTTTCTTCCTTCCGCAAAGAATTCTTAGCAATAATTCTCTATGATGGACATACCAGGAAGGGGAATGAGGCAAAGTGGTGCATTTAATGAGTCCTTTATTTATTTATTCATTCATTTTTATGTGTATGGATGTTTCACCTGTCTGTATGTCTATGCATCGTGTGCATATCTAGTGTTCTTGGAAGCAAGAAGGCATCAGATCCCCTAGGACTGGAGTTACAGACAGCTGTGGACCACCCTGTGGGTGCTGGGAATCGAATCTGGGTCTTCTGGAAGAGCAGCCAATGTTCTTAATGGATAAGGCATTTCTGTAGCTCCTAACGAGTTATTTCTGAAAATTTTGTCTTTTGTTGCTTGCTCTCCAGGTAAAACTGCAGAAGCTTGTTCGCAAGAGTGGACCCATGGGACTCGGCTGCAAATCAGCTGCCCCTGGGATAGGCTTATTTGCTGTGTGGCCTTCAGGAACTCCTGGAACATCTCTGTGTTATTTGTGCTAACTCATTCCTGGAGTTTCCCTTTGCTGGTCCTGCTGCTGCTGCAATTTGACACTAGCCTTGACCAAACCATAAATGCTCAGTTAATGGGATAAAAATGAGCTGAAATCTGGGATTCTGGTCATTAACCCCATGTCCCCATCTACTGGAGTAAGATGAGGGCAGGGGCAGGGGCACTGAGGATCACTTGGTACTTGTCAGACAAACAGATCCCTGCCATCTTCTCTTCCCAGGCCACTTCCATAGTTTGAGGGTCTGTGGGGCTGAGGCTCAGTGAGGCCGGATGCCTGTGTTGGTGGTGAAAGGCAGCTTCAGACCCCACCCAAGACCTGCTGTACTGGGCCCGATAGAGCCTCTTCCTATTTGCCAGCCCTGCTGAACTGCTCTGTGGCATTTCATGCTGCATTTCCCTCTGTCTGGAAGGAGCCTGCCAGCCTGTTTCCTCTCTGCCACCTCCCAGAGGAGCCTTGGCTGGCTGCCCCACCTCCATCTCCACCTCCACTCCCTGTCTTCCCCTCTTCTGGGCTACTAATGTTTCCTGATTGGATTTATCCTTGTGACGTATCTGGTATTCTTACTAGAGTGTGAATTCCTACCCTGTGTCCTTATGAGAACTGACAACCTGCCTGGATGGTTAGGGGCTGCATCTTGCAGGGGGTTATAGGAATTTATGAATCACTAGACATATGACTGAATTTGTTCATCTTTGCTGCCAAAGCTATAGACACAGGGACTCTTCTATCCGTAGGGACCTGGGGCCTGTCCTGAGGAAGGTTAAGGGTTCCCCTGCCCCGACTCTGTCCCTTACTAGACATGCCCCAGTTCCATACTGGAACCACCTGATGTCAGGCCCTGCAGACCAGCTATCTCTTCTTTCCTTGTCTGTGCACGTGGGTGTAGGTGAGTAATGGGGCTAGAGAGGAACTGGAGATGCCCGTCTGCCCCTCGGGGAGCAATTTCATCTTCTCTGCACCCCATACGTGTGAACGGACAGCCAAGGTTTCTCACAAGCTCCTCTCCACCCCTCCGCATACCTTAGCCCCAGGATAGTGACAGCGAAAATGAACCACATAAACAGTAGGTATTCAATAAATGCCAGCCACTGCGAAAACAGCGGTGAGATTCACAACTTCAAATTGTGCCTTGCCCTTCTGGCAATTTTCGAATAATAAAAAAAAAAATCAGTTTATAATGCATCCTTGCCTTGTAGTATGGAATTAGTGCCTTCAACTCCGATTTTGTTTGCTTTAAACTTTAACGAGACGCATCTCCCTGTGACCCGAGTCTCCTGGGTGGGCTGACTTCCTCTCCACTAGTCTCAGAGGAGGCTCTTGGACCTTGTCTGACCACAGCCACTTTGATCCTCAAAGCCTTTAATCTAGAGCGCCTGCTTAAAGATGACACACAAATATCCTCACTCACGCAAATAAAGCAAGCTCCAGCCATAGGAGGGTACCGGCACTAGGAGGCCCCGAATTTCCATCCAGTTTCAAGTCATTTCCCTTTGTGGAGGGACTGAGAGTCAAGCCCACTTTGCTGCCCATTCTGTGGCTTGTGTATCGAAACATCCCTTCTTCGTACTTTGTAAGAGCCCTCTTCTGTCAGTCTGCCTCTGCCCTTCTGTCCCCTGGGAAGAAAGCAGAAGAAAGAAAACCATGCTATTATTTGTTTTCTCGCGGTCATTCTGTCCCTGGAGCCAATGGCTTCACAGGAAAGGAGGAAAAGGCCCAGACAGGCCTGGAGTCAACCGTCCACAGCAGGCTTTCAACAAAAACTTTATTAGTACCACATTGGCCATAGGTGATTTGGCTTTGTGTGGAGCGGAGCGGGAGAGGTGGTGTGGAGTCAGCCTCTGTGCTCTGAGTGGAGCTGCCTCTCCCCCTTGTGTTCTGCGTGTGGGGTTGCAGCCTGTGCTGAGCATCGCTGGTGACAGTGGAGACTGCAGGACTCTGAGCACCTCCCCTACATCCTTGCTTGCACCCTTGCCTACTCTGCCTGCCTTCCTATTCACTCTCCACTTTTAAAAGCCCGCAAGCGCGCCCAAGCCTGAGTGCATCACGTACCTGAGCGCATTGCCTGACCGTCCTGTTTCCTCTGTGTAAGTAGTTGTGTATTTGTTTCAATTCGTTTCATTTATTCTCTAGTTCTTTCAAACTGCCGAGGGAAGCCAGCACAATGAAATGGGAATTTTTAAAAAGCAGAAATCAGGGCTGAGAGGGAGAAAGGAGGAAGGCATCTCTGATCCGCCTTTTCTGCCCGTCAGCGTGACTCCCACTCCGAAATCATAGCCCAGTAATGTGTAGGTGCTACCTGGGGGCGTGGTATCTATGTACCACCTGGATAGCCGTGGGGCTCCAAAGATAGAGGTGAAACAAAGCAAAACGGAAACAAATAAACAACCAAAAGCATGATGTCATGATCTCTCTTTTCCTGAGGGTTTTTCACCTCCTGGGTGAGGCACTGGAAAAGGTCTCTTTTCTGTTCACACTTGGTGTGACACTCGCACACGTCTGGCTCCCATAGCAGAAGGAATGGGAGGCTCGGAGAGGCGAAGGGCTCTAAGCGCCAATGCGGGTGTTCTCGCTCCAGACTCCAGGTTGTTTGCACTCTGCCGCTGTCCTCACCCCACCCACATATGCACCCCAGAGCTCAGATCTGAGGCCATCTGGGGACTAGCCATGGCAACAGGACACCGCTCTAGGGAGGGGAAGCCTATGAGGTCAATAGGAAGCACTGAGGAGGGGGTGAGGTGGAGATGGAGGTCTCAGCCGGCTCTAGGACCAGACCAAAGACTACACGGTCCTTCCCACCATGTCCCTGGGTCTGTCACAGTAAGAGAAGCCATGGTTAAAGAGCACTGGTTGAGGTCCTGGGAGTGAGATAACTATCCCACCCTGCCCCAGGCACAAACAGATTCCTATAGCACAGATCCTTGCTTCAGGTCTGACGAAGTGATGAGCTAGTAAGGATTTACAGCGTACTTATTTGGGTCTGAGCCTTTGCTCATGCAGTGTGGAAAGAGACCAGGGAGTAAAGGACCTCATCGCCTTGTCCAATATACTGTGTATACAGGGCCGTGGCTTTCAGGAGCAGTGTCATTGAGACCAGCTACTCCGTTCTCTGCACGGCAGATCCCACGGAGGGAAGGGAATCTATGTACATCAGGAGGTATATATTCCAGGGCCATGCACACATGCTGCCCCTTTTACAAGCAAGAGGCCAGACATAAGGGGGTGAAGTAATGTGACCACAGTCCCAACACTGGTGTGGGGATGGACTTTGGGTTGGAGTCCAAGATGGCTGACTCATGCTGCTTCCCCGTGTCCTTGGAGGCCTGGAGAGTATGGCTAAGGGTCAGAGACTGGGGGCAGAAATCAGTGGGTTCACACCCAGGACTCAGCACATACAGGTCATGTTACCTGCAGCCTTACTTTGCTCAGCTGTAAGGTGGGCACAGTGACATCCCTAGCCTCAGAGGACTGATGGGAGATGTGAGCAGCTAAGGTGGGAAAAGCGCTAGGCATCTAACCAAAGTTCAGTCCATAGAGGATGCCGTAAACACCACCACCATTGTGTTAGTACCGTGGAAAGGAGGATCTGGAGGACCAGCTCCACCCAGTCAGTGTGCTTGGGAATGTCCTTTTTTCCCCACCTACCTCCATGCAAAATGGTGTTTGTGTGTATGGTGGGGGTGCACAGCTAGAATCCAATACAAACATGGGATCAGACAGTGGTGGACTTTAAACATTCGGAAATCAAGGTATATCTGGGTGTCAGGGGATACGAACAAAGGTTTCAAACACAGTCAGCTCCAAGGGTAACTGAGGCAGGTAGGGCTCTGCTAGGAGGTAATGCTCCCCACCATGTGCCTTCAAACCCTGGTCTAGCTTTTACCTGTATCTAGATGGACTTCTGTTTCCTCCAGAGACAAACCCAGGGGTGACAGGATGCCCACAGGCTCTTGCAGATATTTAGGGATGGCCGAGTGGTCCTCAGAATAGCCACTCTCACAGGGTCTGACCCAGAGACATCACTCTTTCATTTCTAGTGTGTTCTGTGAGGGTTGGAGCCTGGACTAGGGGGTTGGACCTCATTACCCTGTCACTCTTACTAAATAAAGCCCCACCTTCCTTGAACGCCAGACCCCTGCATCTGTATTTCCACCATCCCATGACCACACTCGGAAACCAAGGTGCCAGCCACCCTGTGATAGGGCTGATTTCAGTGAGGGTGATGGAGCATGTCCCTGGTGTCACCGCAACAATAAACAGTGAGAGACGAGAGAGGAGCCAGGCAAACACTTTGCATGCAAACCAGAGTACAGCACTCGAGCATAGGCGTGTGATGGAGCCGTATATGAGCAAGAGAGGAGACTCGGGGTAGAAGGACCCTCTGCCGTTCCATCCCAGCACTAAGAGTGACAGTAGAGGGTTCTGTCATTGTGTCCAGACATCCCCAGCTTCATTCAAGGTTGACACTCAGGTGCCAAAAACTGTGTTAAGTGTCTGTACCAAGTCAGTTTGTGGAAATTTCCCAGCTCTGTTGATAGCCTAGGGTGGCTAAGTACATGCTGGGGGGGATACTGGGTATACTGTGAGGAGCCTCACAGTCCCTCTCCTGATGCAGATGACAATAGTGCTCACACCCCCTGCCCAAGTCATGCTAAGGAAAAAGTGTTCCCTGGAGGCAGCGTCATCACCATCTGGAAACCATTGAGGAAATGACCCCCTACACAGCCCAGGGCATAATATTATCTATAGCCCACGGTTGTCCCTTCTCTAACTGAGGTGCAGCTAGATTAAATCATGGCTTAATCTTGGAAGGCCTGGGCAGGGTCAGTCTGTTTCATGGTATATGAACTTGCTCTGCTCCTCTTGCCCCCGGATGCTCAGTGAGTCCACAGGTACTGAGCTGGCGAGACAGTTCAGTTGGCGAAGTGCTCATCATGCCAGCTCGAGGACCAGAGTTCTAGCCCCCAGAACACACATAAAAAGCTTGGCATGATGGCAAGAGCTTATAATCCCAGAGCCTGGCAGACTTAAGGAGGTGGGTTCCCTAGGACTCCTTGGCCATCCAGCCTAGTGGCACTGGCAAGTTCTAGGCCAAAGAGAAACCTGCCTTAAAAAAAACTAAGGTGGGTGACTCCTGAGGAATGCGATCATCTAAGGCTGACCTCTGACCTCCACACACATGTACATATGTACACCCCGCAGAGAGATGGACCCTAACCAGTAGCAACCCCTGACAATGGCAATGCCCTCATGAGTCACACAGCCATCTTTCCCTGCACGTCCCGCCTCCATTTAACAAATGAGCAGACTGAGACCGAGGCTGATAAGAGACAATCGCCCCAAGTCACAGAGCAGGCAGGCTGCCAGAGGCCAGTCTCGGATCCCCATCTTGTCAGGCTGCTCCCTGAGTCGCGTCAACACTGATTACTGATGGGAGGCAGGAAGGCGACTTAATAAAAAAATGCAAATCCAGGATGATGGATATATTTAGGAGGATGAACTATTATGTGGTGGTATAAAAATAGATCAAAGGCGAGCACGTGGACTTGCCAGCCCGGCTGTGTGAGAGACGGGAGGGAGGGGCAGGCAGAGCACCAGCGACATCTCATTAACTTTGCTGGGAAAACATGAGGAGGCTAAAAACACAACATTCACCGTGTCCCTTAAAGGGACAGGGCATGCTGTCCTATGAGGAGGACACAGTATGTACTTGTGTGTACTTGTGGGTTCTGTGGCCTTTGTGCTGTTGAAAGGATCTCTAGGGTCCTCCGTGTAGATAGAACTCGTGGACATAAGTGGATTAGTCTACACTGGAGACCAATCACGTACAACGCAATGTGATTATTCTGTGCATTTTTCTGAAAGAAGTCTGTATTGGTTAATCTCGGTTCTCAATTTGACCACATCTGGAATTAACTACCAAGCGGTTGGCTTGCCTGTTTTCTTGGGGATTTTCTTGATTGATCATTTGAGGTGGAAAGACCCACCCTAAATCTGGGCCACACCTTCTGGCGGCAGCCTGCATAAAAGGACAGGGAAGAAGGAAGCTTTTGCTTTTTGCCTGCTTGCCCTCGCTCTCGTTGGCGAGTTCCTCTACCCTGTTGCGGAGGCATTCGTTCCTTTGCGGGTATTAGAAACTACTTCTTCAGGGCTCCAATGGAGACTGGAGGCCAACAGCTCTTTAAGAGTCCTCCAGGACTCCAGC